ACAGGCTGGAGCCGATGGAAGGATAGTGCCCAGTAGGGGACTCATCATGTGGTTCTCAACCATGTGCGCAATTGCAAGAGACTTCAGGCTCTGGAAACAACCACCTTGGGGGCCTCCCCTGGTGGCGCAGTGGTTGAGTGTTGGGCTGCATAGCTGCTTGAAGCCTCTGCTGCCCGCAGACTCTGCAGCGCGGTTTGATCCCTGGCCACCGACGAGGGTCCCACATGGCGCGACAGTCCTCTCCTGCTGCCCGCTGCTCCCCTCAGCAATGTACTTCGGTTTTTCTGCATGTTCTGCCCCCTGCTCTGGCTCTGGTGAATTCTCTCACCCTCCTGCACTTCTGACTGTACCCAGTGCTTGTATAAATAAAATTAAAAAAAAAAAAGAAGTTCTATTTGCAGAACTTCTAACCTCCTGGAACCCCCTGTGCAGAGTAAGCAGGTGCTCTCAGAGACTCCAGCTCCCTTTAGGGCGGCAGGTGCCAGCACACCCGCAGAGGACCTTACACTACTTCAAAGGAAACCTGCACCCCCCTGATCACTGCAGCACTATTTACAGTAGCCAAGCTGTAGAAGGGATGGTACATAGATAATAGGATACTACTCATCAAGAAACATAAACTCATGCCATCTGGGGCAACATGGATGGAGCTAATGGAAATAAGCCCAAAGAAGAAAGACAAATACGTCACTTAGATATAGAAAAATTAAACAAAGGGCTAGTTTAAGCTATCCTTTGAGTCTCCCCGGTGGTGCCTGACTACTGGCTGGGGCTGCAGACCAGCCCAGACTTTCTGGCCTGGCAGCACTGGATGGTGGACTGACCCTCTCTAGTTTGACATCATACTCTTTTGATGACAAAGCCTGACTCCAGCTGACTGAATCCCCTATTGTGTCTTGTTTCACCTACACCACCACTGGGTCCCCAGCCTCTGCTGTTTGCTGGGTCTGAGATGGATCTTGTACTTGATGCTGCTCGTAATTTTTTGTTTGTTTGTTTTTAAGATTCATTTTTTATTTATTTATGCATACAAGAACTGGGGCATAGGCCAGAGGTGCAGAGGGTGAGAGGATTCACCAGACACAGAGTAGGGAGCAGAACAGGCTGATCCACTGAAATCCACTGCTGAGGGGAGGGGTGGGTGAGACAGGAGAGGTCTGCTGCCCCCTGTATGTTGCTCCCTAGCCAGGGATCAAACTCAGGTCTAAGCAGTGATAGCACTCAGACTTAAACCTTATGCCACCAGGGAGGCCCTCTTTTATATATTTTTTACATCTTTTGATATTATTTAAAATAATAGAAGTGCTCCTACTGCTCTACTTTCATAATTAACACACTCCTTCCTCCCAGCCCTTGGCTCAGGTCGTGTTTACACGTGTCTTTGTCACCTTTACTCAGTGTCCATCTCTCATGACAGTGCAAGCTCCACGTCTCCTGGGTCCTCTCTCTGCTCCCCATTGTATCTGCAGGGGAGGCAGCTTGGGGAGGCAGGAGCCAGCCAGGGAGAGGGATGCTGGGAAGTGAAGGGGAGGCAAAGGCAGAGAACACTTGGGAGATGCTCCCTGGTTCACTGAGAAAAGCATTTCTCAAAGTGTGGTTGTGGAATCCTTGAAGTCACCCAGAGCCTGTCACAGGAGCCACGAGGTCAAAACTATTTTCAAAACATCACTTAGACACCATTGGCTTTTTCACTATTTTGACATCTGCTAGGTTAAAACTTACTAAAAATGGAGCTTATATTACTAACTACAGTTATTCTTCACAACTACTTATCACAGAAACACAGCTCCAAGCCAGTTTCACTTCAAAGTGTTTTGGCTGAAGCATTAAAAATTATCTTCATTATTCTATCATCCTCAAATCCACATTTTACAGCACCTGATGCGATGACACGCAAGTACACACACAACACTCCTGCTGCGTCCCCAACTACCATGTGCCAAGGAAAACATTTGCATGAGATGAATTAGACTGTTTTTCTTTGTTTGTAGGCAATACCATCTTCACATGAAGGAATGAATGACAAAATCTGTGGCTATTTGATTTGGTTAATGAGCAGACATTGTCCTGAAAATGAGTGTGTGCTCCTTTGAGAAAATCAACTGGCAATTGAAAACTGACAGTAACTTCTCCTTGACAAAATGTAAGTGCTCAGAAAAAACCAGAATCATGGAAAATTGTGTCCTATCACTAACTTGACAACTTCCAGTACTACTTTTACTTTTTGGATTTGTGGTGAAAAATAAAATGAATTTTTAAAAATAATTTCATCCTGGTGTAATGAACATTGAAGAGCTTTATAACTTGTGGAACAATATATTACTTTTAAAAAATCACACATTAAAACTAACTGCAGTTAGTTTTATGCAAGAGAGGAATTTGCAAATAACCTTGGAGAAAATACCACCTGTATAGATTTAATTTAGTATCAAAGTGGAATATTCACAATAATGTGAAAACACTACTCCAACATATTTGTGTGAGGCTGTAAACATTTTTTCATAGACTTCAACCAGAACCACAACTAAATGCAGAAGGAAACATGAAAATCCTACTGTCTTCTAATGAGACAGACAAGAAAGAGAACTGCAAACATAAAAAACATGAAAGATTCACTTTTCCCATTGCCCTGATTATTTTCAGAAATAAGTTATTTTTCTTAAGAACACTGTCTATTAACAGGCATTGGATTATTACTATTATTCTAAATGAAACAGCTACATGATCAAACTCAGCTTTATTCCCAGTGTGGTCAATATGGGGAGCGATACCTCCTAAACAAGATTATGCTTGGCGTCCTCCCTAATTTGTAAGACTGGACACGGATCCGGGAAGGAAAATGACTGAGAATCGCAGACCCAGTGCTTGGGTCATGGAGACAGGGTGAGGAAGCTTTGGGTGAGGAGAGGAGGGGCCAGAGCAAAGCCCCAGGGCCCTAGCCTGGTTCTCATAGTTCCAGGCCCCAGGGCTGTGTCTAGGGCAGGAAGGTTACTGTTGGGGATACCCCACTGCCCCCTTAGCCTCCCTTCTGTCTCCACCACCTGTGCTGGGCCCTGTACACTTGTGACTCCTCCCCAGTTCTCAGTCCCCAGTGCCTGGAGGTTCCCAGAGAACCAGTCAGCATCACTGCCTGCCCAGGTAAGTCTCCACCCACCAGCCTAGGGTCAGAAGCTCCCCAGACCCCAGCAGTGCTGGTCATGGGGCCCCCAACCTCCTCCTGCTGCTTCTCTCCAGGGCTCTGGCCCAGACAGACACCTGGGCTGGTGAGTGCAGGGTGGAGGGAAAAGGCTTCTGCAAAGGAAGCTGCTGCCTTAGGCCCCTCTGTCACCCCGTGGCCCCCTCAGTCCTGGTCCCTTTCTGTCCCCCCACCCTGCCTCCTCCTTTTGTCCCCCGAGTCTTGCCCCTTCTGGACCCGCTGCCCATGTTCAGTCTCTGGAGCTCCCTCCCTCCTGGACACTTTCTCCCCTGCCCCATCTCCCGGGACTCAGGACCTGCCCCGGGAGGAGGGTCCGCCCGGCTTTCACCCCTCCCCGCCCCCAGGCTCCCCCTCTCTGAGGGTGTTAGAAACGGTGATGTCCCGCCCGGCCTCGGGGAGCCCCGGTGTATCTCGGGGGATACGTGGACGACCCGCAGTTCGGGGGTTCGACAGCGACTCCCCGGGCCAGAGCGCGGAGCCGCGGGCCCCTGGGCGGGCGGGCGGGGCGGGAGGGTCGGGCGAGGAGACGCGGCTCCGCAGACACTCGGCGCGGAGGCTCCAAGCGCTCCTGGAGGCCCCGCGCGGCCGCCGCAGCCAGAGCCGGGCCGGGGAGCAGCGCGGGCCGGGGCGGGTCACCGCTCCCGCCCCACCCCCCGCCCCGAGTCTCGGGGCCCCGTGACCCCCGAGGCCGTGGCCCCTGCCAGGCCCTTGACCAGGGAAGAGCCCGCGGGACTTTCCCCTTTAGGTTTTATTTAAGTTTGGGATTATTCAGGGAGGGAGATCGGGTGCGGGCGGGAGACCACGGGGTGACTGAAGGCCGGGCTCAGGGTCTCCCACGGTCCAGAGGACTCTGGGCTGCGCCGCGGGGCCCGACGGCGCCTCCCCCGCGGGCACGACCAGCTCCCCACGACGGCGCCGGGGACGCGCCCTGGGCGGGGACCTGCGCGCCTGGACCCGGCGGGCCCGCGGCTCAGCTCCCCGGCGCGAGGGGGAGGGGGAAGGTCGGGCAGAGCAGGACGGGAGCAGCCCGGGGGGCGGGTGCGTGGAGGGGCCCCCAGACTCCTGGGGATGGGGAAGGAGGCGCCGCAGCTCAGAGGTGAGAGGGCTGCGGGGCCTTTGATCTCCCTGAGGCGCGCACCCCGCAGGGCAATGGAATCATGGTGAGGAAGCGCCCCCTCCTGGCCAGAGAGGGAGCTGTCGGCCACGTTTTCCAGCTCTGGGATGGAGACTGGCCCAGAGGCTCCTACTTTCTCTGAAGGACAGTTAAGGAATCCAGTTTCTCCTGAGAAAGAGGGGACACCACCCCTGAAATCTCCCTTCACAGGATCCTTTTGACCGGCAGCCATCTTAGGAACAATGAGTTTCTCTCTCGAGATCTTGTTTTTTGGTCAGAGAGCATTTTTGGAGATCTCACTCCTGCCTGTCTGTGTCATCACCCTCCACCCAAGGCAGCAACAAAATGCTCAGAGACCTGCATCCCACCCTGGGCTCTCACCTGCTCTCCCGGACTCCCAGACCAGGCTGTTTTTTGGGGTTTGTGCTCCTCCCTCCAAGCATAGTGTTCTGTCCACTGCAGGATGGTCACATGAGGCTGCTTCAGTGTCCATGGAGGAAACACAAAGCATGAAATGTCTGATTCTTCCTACTCAGGCCCCCAATCGCCCTATGTGACCCATCACCCCATCTCTGAGCATGAGGTTACCCTGAGGTGCTGACCCTGGGCTTCTACCCTGCGGACATCACCCTGACCTAGCAGCAAGATGGGGAGAACATGACTCCAGGAAATGGAGCTGGTGAACACCAGGCTGGGGGTGGCGGGGTATGGAAATTACCAGAAGTGGGCAGCTGTGGAGGTGTCTTCTGGAGAGGAGAAGAGATATACATGCCATGTGCAGCATGAGGGGCTGATAGCACCCCGAGTCCTGAGATGGGGTAAGGAGGGGGATATGGGCACACGGCTGACTCAGGGGCATCAGAAGCCCTTCTGGAGACCTTCAGAGGATCACACTGAGGCCTCAGGTTCAGGGTCTGACCTTCTCTTCCATTCCAGTTCCCCCTCCTCAGTTCTCCATCCTTGCTGTCGTCCTCATTTCCAGCTTGGTTCTCTTTGGAGGTGTGCTCACTGGACACAAGGTGGCTTCATGTGAGGGGCTAGAAGAAGTGCTCAGGTAGGGAAGGGAGTGGGGGAATCTTGTCCACTGGGGGCTTTCATGTCCCAGGGAGAACTTCCTACCCTGTTAATGGGAAGTACCATCCACACGTGTGGCCCAAAGGGCATCTGGTCCAGTCCCCTCTCACCTCCGTTCTTCATTTTTCCCAGTCCAAACCTGGGTCTTTACTCACAGTTCTGGAAACTTCCCTGTGGTGCAGGATTAGAAGATTCCTTTAGGCTTCTGACCTGATTCCTCCCTGGTCTCACATGATGCTTCTTCCCACAGGAGGACAAGGAGGAAGCTACACTCAGGCTGCAAGTAAGTGTGGTCAAGGGTTGGATCCCTGAGCCCCTGGGAACAGTGTAGATGGAGTCCATGTAGGAGTCACTCTCATCTGTTCCTCCTGTGGTCTCATCTCTGACCAAGTTTTGTTGTATTCTCCCCCAGCAGCCACAGTCCCAGTGCTCTGAAATGTATCTCAGCCCCTAAAAGGTGAGACCCTCGAAGACTGCTGGGGGGGTTGGGGTTTGTGGCAGAGAGGCTGGGACAAGATTTTGGGGATGCTTTCAGGAGGACATCTTGAGAATGCAGTGGACCATTGATATTGTTAACACTGAGGTAATTCACCTGAATTTCTTCCTCATTATTTTCTTTTGGGGTATTAGACAGCTTTCCGTGGGCCTGAGTGTTACAGGATTTATTTTTGCCCACATTTTGTGGCTTTATGATCCCCTGGTTTAAACCACTTCACACCTTTGAGAACGGCCCATATCCAAAAGACCAGAAACAACAAGTGCTGGCAAGGATGTGGAGAAAAGGGGACAGTCCTGCATTGTTTTTGGATATAGACTGAGCCAGCCCTTCTGGAAACAGTACTGAGGTTTCTTAAAGAGTAAGTGTGGTTCTGTCATTGGACCCAGCAATTCTACACTGAGGATCTCCTCAGAGAGGATAAATACTCTCCTGTGAAGGAATCTGCACTCCCGTCACGCCACCAGTGCAGCAGTATTTTCAGTAGCCAAGCTATGGTAACCACCTAAACGCCTCCAAACAGGTGACAAATCAAGAATTTGGGATTATATGTATACATATATGTACATATACAGGTGACTCCAAAGGACATGAACGTTGGGGTTTGGGGGAGGGAGCTGTCAGGGGTGAAGATGCCACCACATACTAGTAGGGGCCAGGGTGGGGGGAGGGGAGTCCTGCCCAGCTCTCTATACCTCAAGCCAACTATGAGATATTTCTCAACCTCCTCCACTTCCTCAGGTCTAGTGCTTTTTCAGTCCTGCTCAGAAGCTGCTTCTCCATGGAACTGCATTTATAGAGGTGTTGTTCTGACACTCTCTACTCTGTGTGCAATTTGAATTAATTTATTCTGGAGCTTGATGTTATTTGATTTCCCATCATCTTATGTTGTGTATCCTGTCATTCCTGTTACACACACACACACACACACACACACACACACACTCCCCTCTCCTTGAGAACCAGACCCTCACTCAGCACTGGGGCTACTCTGACCCTCTGTCTCTGGTCCCCTCAGAGTCGCCCTCTCTGCAGTGTCTCTACTCAGCAGTTTCTCAGCAGCCCCAGGAGTCCCTGCACCTCCTGCCTCTGACCTTATGGGAAACCAGCCTCTCAGCCTGCATGACAGTGAGGAGGCGAAGGCAAAGTCCTGAGGTCAGTGACTGATGGAGGAGACAGTTTACTTTTTTTTCTTTTTACCTTCATTGTATTATTCAACTGAGGTTAGCATTGGTTTACAACACTGCATGTGTTCAGAGGCAAGGGTCACACCTCTTCAGATGTTTGTTACATCACACCCACCCTAACGGCACCCACAGTCTTAACCATAGTCCATTGGACCCTCTTCCTACTTTGTTTCCTACTCTTACCCCAGCCCATAGCTTCCATTCTGCAGTCATATATATAGAGTATGTTTTGGTTTAGTTTCATCTGTCCCTGCTTTGTTTCTTTATATTACAAATATGAAATCATCCAGTATTTAACTTTCCCCTTCAAACTTATTTCACTTAGTATCATCCCATCCATATCTATCCATGTTGTTGCAAATCTAATATTTCATCTTTTTCACGGCCGAGTAGTATTCCATTGTGTATATAGCTTGTATTCTTTATCCCTTCACCTACCGCTGGGCACGTAGGTTGTCTTCATTGCTTGGTTATGGTAGACAGTGCTGCAGTGACCATAGGAGGTGCATATTCCTTGGAATTAGTGTTTTTACCTTCTTTGGGTAAATACCAAGGAATGGGATGCCTGACCATGTGACAGGTCTATTTTGAGGAATCTTCATTTTTTTTTTTTTCTATAGGGGCAGGACCAATCTGCTATCCATTGAAAAGAGAGGTTCCAGGTTACCGCCCCGCCCAAGGAAAGGTGGATCTGAGCAGTGATGAGAAGCTAAGGAAGAGGAGGAAGATGTGGAGTAAGATGAGGAAAGGAGACTGGAGGGGGAGCATGGAGCAAAGAGACATGTTAAGAAGAAACCACACTTGCTTCTCACTTGGACTTGTGCCAGGGAGTTGGGGACATGGAAAGAAACATGTGAAAGAGACAAAAATGTGAATGAGAGACCCATCAGGAGGCTGACAATGGCAGCTGTTATCTTGATGTGGATTTTGATTTTGTTCTTGTCCTTCCAGACTCACCTGGCCCTTCCTGCCCCTTTCCCATGGGTCTCTACCAGTAGGTGCCTCAGCCTTGTGGCAGGCGTTCAGGCCCCAATGGGCCTGCTTTGGGCCAAGCCTGTTTGGCTGGGCATTTACCCATGAGGGGGATGGGTAACTTTGAGTGCTTCACTTGGGAACTATTCTAACTATATTCTTTCTCTTCTCTCTCTCTATTGCACACTGATTTTTTATTTTATACTAATTGTATTAAAGTGCTTTTCTATTGACGATCTTACACTTTAGAGTAGTTTTGTCTTTATGCAGCTGATGGCAGATCCCATGTAGAATGTGCAGTTTTGAGGGCCCAGGGAACCCCTCATTCTGCCCACTAACAAGAGGAGACATCATTCCCACCCACCATGTGCCAGAGTTCCTTTTCCTCCACACCCTTCAATGGGCCATTCTCACAGTGTGAGGTGGTAACTCATTATGGTTTCAATTGGCATTTTCCTGACAGCACATGACCAGCATTTATCCATGTACCTATTGGCCACGTGTGTGTCTTCTTTAGAAAAAGTATATATTTAGCTCCTCTGCCCCTGTTTTGACTTGTTTTCTTGTTTTGGAGTTCTTCGTAGATTTTGGATATTAACTCCTTGTTGGATTGATGATGTGCAAATAGTTTCTCCGATTTGATATTGTCTTTTCATTTTAACGATAGTTTCCTTCACTATGTAGAAGCTTTTTTCTGATGTGATTCCATTGGTTTCTTTTTGCTTTTGCTTCCTTGGAGCACAGAAGGCATTATGGGCAGTGAAAATACTCTGTATGATATTCTCATGATGGACACAGGTCATTATACATTTGTCCAACACCCCAAGAATGGACAACACCAGAGTGAACCCTGAGAGAAACCATGACTTTGTGACTGTGACATGCAGGTCCATCACTTGTAGTCGACGTGTCAGTCTGGTCTTCACACATGATTTGGACATGATGTGTGAAGAGTTTTATAAGTTGAGGAATGAAGTGTAATTTACTTTAGAAAGCATATTTCATGCTCATACAAGAACATTTAAATAACACTCAAGGATACTCATCAGTCATTCCCCTCTACCCCCAACACCCCAGTCAGCCAATGTCTGCTCAAAACCAGTTAGCAATTTATCTTTTATCTTCTAATACATATATATTGGAGATATATGTATCTCCATGCTCCTGTCTGGGCGATAGTGTTTGTTTTCCCATCAGTAAAGGAGTTCAGGTCACAGATGCGGGGAAACATTTGCAAATCACGAATCTGATAAAGGACTGTATCTACAAATAATGCCTAAAACTCAATGATCAGAAAGAAATAACCCAATTTTAATAAGGACAAAAATAGTGTAATAAATGAATGGCAACTCATTTGTAAAAATGTACAAAACTTCCACACAAACAGCAACTGTAGTCATAGAAAAGTAAAAATATGAACAAATGCTCAATATCACAGTTAAGAACAACAGTGACACCATCACCCTGCTGCCCAGGGTGTGCATAACAGGAGCCTCATCAGGTTCATTGTAAAAGATCCTTAGGGGCTGAGAGACACATCAGAGCCCTGGGCACTGTCGCTGCCTGGTTGAGAACAAAACAGAATCTGGTCAGAGATGAGACCACAGGAGGGAGTGATAATGGTGACTCCCCCATGGAGTCCATTTACACTGTCCCCAGGGGCTCAGGGATCAAACCACTGATCCACACCTACCTGCAGCCTGAGTGTAGCTTCCTCCTTGTCCTCCTGTGGGAAGAAACATCATGTGAGACCAGGGAGCAGTCAGGTCAGAAGACCTAAAGGAATCTTTTAATCCTGCAGAACAGGGAAGTTTCCAGAACTGTGAATAAAGACCCAGGTCAGGACTGGGAAAAAATGAAGAAAGGAGGTGAGGGGGACCAAATGCCCTCTGGGTACCATACATATGTGAGGATGGTAATTCCCATTAACCAGGTAGGGCAAGTTCTCCCTGGGACTTGAAAGCCCCCAGTGGAGAAGACGCCCCCAGTCCCTTCCTACCTGAGTCTTTCTTCCTCCACATCACAGCTGCAGCCACCGCAGTTCCAGTGAGCAGAGCTCCAAGGAGAACCAGGCCAGCAATGATGCCCGCAGTGGGGATGGAGGACTGAGGAGGCACTGGAAGGGAAGGGAAGATCATACCCTGAGCCCCAGACCTTATCCAGACCCTCTGAAGGGCTCCAGAAGGGCACCTGAAGGCCCTGAGAACAGCCTCAGTGCCCACATCCTCCTCCTTACCCCATCTCAGGACTTGGGGCTCCAGCAGACCTTCATGCTGCACATGGCATATGTATCTCTGCTCCTCTCCAGAAGGCACCACCACCGCCGCCCACATCTGAAAGGTTCCATCTCCCCCAGGCCTGGTCTCCACCAGCTCCATCTCCTGGGTCAGGTCCTCCCCATCTCGCTGCCAAGCTAGGGTGATGTCCGCAGGGTAGAAGCCCAGGGCCCAGCACCTCAGGGTGACCTCATGCTCAGAGGTGGGGTGGTGGGTCATGTGTGTCTTTGGGGGATCTGAGGTGGTAAATCAGAAAATTCACTTTGTGTTTCCTCCATGGACACTGAAGAATCCTCATGAGACCATCCTCACAATGGACAAGACAACTGGTGTGGCAGGAAGAAGCATAAAATGTAAAAAACAGGATAATCTGGGGAAATCTGTGAGATTCTCCTATTATTAGAAAGTTCTAGAATGAGGAAGGAAACCCAGGGTAGGATGAAACAGATGGAGAAGAACAAAGACTTTTTACTCCTGACCTGGGTTGAAGGTGAATGACACAGAAAAGCAGGAATCACATAAATGAAAATGTTCTCAGACCAGAAACAAGACTGAGAGAGAAACTCGTGGTTCTCAAACAGGCCCCTGGTCAAAAGGACCCGGTGACGCGTGATGTCAGGGACTGTCTGTCTTTCTCAGGAGAGACTGGATCCCTTCCCTGTCCTTCAGGAGAAGCCCGAGTCTCTGGGAGTCTCTCTAGTGCAGAACATGAAACCCAGGGGAGTCCCCCTCTCGGGACTAGAGAGAGGACTCATTTCCCGCAGTGACTCCAGGCAGGGGGGGACCGGGAGCCTCCATGCCCCTCTTACCCGTGCGCTGCAGAGTCTCCTTCCCGTACTCCAGGAATCTGTGCAGCCACCTCAAGCACCTGCCCTTCACATAGTTCCTGATGTGATTTGCCATGCCCTGGGCCTCCCACTGGCTCCAGGTGGTCTGAGCTGCCATGTCCACTGCGGCCCAGGAGCTCAGGTCCTCGTTCAGGGCGATATAATCAGCACCGTCATAGGCGAACTGCTCATACACACGGAGGAGGCAGCCGTCGGGCCCCACCTCGCAGCCAAACATCTCCTGGAAGGTGTGAGACCCTGTCCCCGCCCGTGTCACCCTGTGGTCACCCCGCCCGCACCCCCCTCCCGCCGGGAATAAACTAAACAGAATGAAATGGGATGAAAGTCCTGCTGGCTGTTCCCAGGCAGGTTGCAGAGAAGCCTGGAGGGGGAGACCCCGAGCGACCCCCGTCAGTGGGGATGAGGGTGCTGACCCGGCCCGGACCCGCGCCAGCTCACCGGTCTCACTCTTGTTGTAGAGGCCGCGCAGGGAGTCCAGCTGCACGCGGTACCACAGTGTGCGCTCCCTTGCGATCTGTGTCTCCCGGTCCCACTCCTCCTGCTCCACCTGCTCCGCCCAGTGCGCCCGGGGCTCCACTCTCTGGTCCGGGGAGTCGCTGTCGAACCGCCCGAACAGCGTGTCGTCCACGTAGCCCACCGAGATGAAGCGGGGCTCCCCGAGGCCGGGCCGGGACATCGCGGTGTGGAAAACCCTCATGGAGTGGGGGCCTGGGGGCGGGAGGGGAGACCCGGGCTATTCTTCTCCCTTTCCGGGGCTCGAGTCCCAGGGGGCGCCCACGAGACAGAAAGTGGGTGAAAGACGAGTGAGACCGAAAAGCGGCTGCGGGACGAAAATGGCCGGGACTCGGGGGGCCAGAGGAGGCTGGGGTCTCGGGGGGACGGAAAGGGGCCAGGACGGGGCGGGGCCGAGGTGGGGGGACAACTAGGGCTGCGGCGAGGTCGCGCCTTTCCCACGCCCGCCCCCGCCCTCGCTCCCGCCTCTGGGAGCGCCCTGTCCCCTCCCGACCCGCACTCACCCGCCCGGGTCTCCCTCGGGGCCGCGGCCCCCGCGAGCAGGAGCAGGAGGGCTGCGCCCCCCATCCCCCAGGACGCGCCTCCACCCGGGCTGGGGAGATGGAGTCCCGGCGGGCGGGCGAGGGCTTTGGAACGGGAGCCGCGGGGCTGCTGATTGGCTGCTCTGGAGACCTCCAGGCAATGGGGAGTGAGCCCTGGGGTGACTCACCAGTATCCAGGAAGGAGGACCCGACAAGAGCTGTGAGAAGTGAAACTGGGGAGGTGAGGAAGCCCCAACAGTCACCTTCCAGCCCCAGACAGCGCCCTGGGGACTGAGACCTTGGGAGCCACACCTGAGACCCCTCCTCTCCTGCACCAAGACCTTTGTCACACGGTCTTCCCGAGTCCAGGCCCAGGAATTGGGTCAGCGATTCTCAAACATTTTTCTTTCAGGATGTCTCTACAGTCTCACAATTTATTACGGATCCCATGTATAATTTTTTAGGTGGGTTATAGCTTTAAATATTTACTAGAATAAAACCTTTCAAAAAGATGTTATTACTTCTTTACTTTAGAATATTAATAACCAATGTATGCTAACAAAGCATTTTTAAGAAAATAACTTTCTGTAAATGTAAGGATAATTGCACAATTGTATGAATTTTTTTTTAAAGTTACCTATTGTTTCACTACACTTTATATATAGTGTTAATTACACTGGGATCAAGTTATCAAAAATCATGTGTTTTACTTTTTACCACAGATCCCAAATGAAAAATTAGTCCATACTGTAAGTTGTCAAGTTTATAGTGATAGGACTCAATTTTCCATAATTTTGGTTTTCTCTGGGAGTTTACATTTTATTAAGGCAACAAGTGCCCTCAGTTCATTTTTATTTATTTATTTTTTTAAAAGATTTATTTATACAAGCATTGGGTACAGTCAGAAGCGTGGGAGGGTGAGAGAATTCACCAGAGCCAGAGCGGGGAGCAGAGCAGGCAGAAGGACCGAAGTACACTGCTGAGGGGAGCAGCGGGCAGCAGGACAGGTCTGCGCGCCATGTGGGACCCTCCTCCGGTGGCCAGGGAGCAGCCGGGGATCGGATCAGCGCCCCAGCCCTGCAGAGGCTGCGAGCAGCTTCACAACCCAGCACTCAACCACTGCGCCACTGGGGAGGCCCTCAGTTGATTTTTATTTTTTTTTATTTTTTTTATATAGGCATGTTTTATTTATTTGTTTGTTTGTTTTGTTTTTTGTTTATACATGCACTCGTACAGTCAGAAGCACTGGAAGATGAGAGAATTCACCAGAGCCAGAGCGAGGAGCAGAGCAGGCAGAAGGACCGAAGTACACTGCTGAGGGGAGCAGTGGGCGGCATTTTTAAAAGGGACAGACGCACATTCATTTTCAGGAAAGTGTTGCCAATTCAACTAGTCTAAGTAAACGTGTTTTTAGCCATTCATTCCTTCAATTAAAAATGATATTGCCTGAATTCACTTCATACATTTCCCCCCTGGGACACAGCTCTTTGGACGGTAGCAGACACGCCTTATGTGTACTTCCTTGTCATCGTTTCAGACCTTTATAAAAATGTGGATTTCAGGATGATAAATAGAAAATATGCTTTCATGACTTAACCAGGACATTTTGAAGTGAAACTGGTCTGGATTTTTTTTTTTTCTGCAAGAAAGTGGTGGTAAAAATAACTACTACTGCAGTTGGTACTATAATTTCCATTCTTACTAAGTTTTATCTTAGCAAATGTCAAAATACTGAAAGGCAAATGGTATCTAAGTGATGTTATAAAAATAGTTTTGACCTCCTGGATCCCGTGAAAGGTTCTGGGTGACCTCAACAGTTCCACAGACCAACTTTAGAAATGCTTTTCTCAGTGAACAAGGGAGAGTCTCTGCCTTTGTCATTTGTCAAGTGTCCTCTACCTTTGTCTCTTATTGAGCTCTCAGAATCCATCTCCTTGGTTTGGATATCCAATTTCCAAAGTTTTTCTTAGAGTTTTGTCCCTGGAATCTCTGGATGAGCACTCATTCCTCAGAGATGATGAGAGAGTGCTCAGTCTGAGAAGGGAGGTGGAGAGACAGGTGCTTCCCTTTGGAAATGGGACAGTTTATGTCTGGAGGCACCAGACCCACTTAATATACATTTCCATCCAATGACCTTGCCTAATCTTTAAGAGAGATATTGTATTGACCCCTTGATTTTACATGTGTTTAATGCATCTGACTTGCTCCCAAAGCATGAAGAGCAGTGCTGTCCAACAGAATGTTCAGGAAGAAAGAAATGTTCTATATATGCACTGACCAATATGGTGCCTCTAACTGTTGAATACTTGAAATGTGGTTCATGAGCTGAGATGTTGCATATTTTACTATGTATCATTTAAAATTAAGAAGCCATATGTGGCTAGTAGCTACCATATTGACGGTACATATCTAGAATGTTCTTAACTTTCAATACTTTGAAAGTATTGAAATACTTTACTGTCCCCCAATACTGCCCCCCAATACTTTGCCCCCCAATACTTTGTTTGTATAATAAAATAGCATAATAAAATATAATGTACAATAAAATTACCTTCATGTGGAAATCATGGATTTTTCTACATGGGTTTTAGGTATATCCTTAAAATATGGCATGTCCAAATAGTTTAATTAACATGTATTTTAACAACAGATGGAGAGGTGAGATCCCAAATCTGAATACAAACTCTGTCAAATCGATGGCTGATGACTAAACTGTGCTGAGGTGTGGGACGTTCAAGAGAAACTGTCAGAAAACCAGAAGGAACTTAGAGGGCGTTCTACCCTTGAGTGACAGACTCATCCTGGTGCAATCTTTGAGTCTGCACCTATGACTGACGACTTCCCCAATCCACACAAGCTCAGAGAACCAGAAGAAAAATCTTACTGACTTGAGAAATCAAACATCAGATCTGGTGGCGGCATTTGGGTATTTGGGTACGCCAGGAACAAGGTAACCAACAAGTGAGTGAATGCCAACATCTGGCAGACACTGTCCAAAACCTTTGTTGACCACTGAATACCATGGAGACAAGTCAAACCCTTCAAGACCCAGGATGAAAATGCAGCAAGTGGAGACTGAAGCAACAGAGCAGGGGCCCAGCTGTGCTCACTGCAGGGACAGATTTGGCCTTGTTCAGGCAAATGTCCAACTTCAGTGGGGAAGAAAAGGAATCCCCAGAAAAATAAGAGTCCAGATGTGTTAAATCTTACATCTTTCATGTATTTAGAATTAAACCTGCTTTCTCCATGGCGCTTGTTTGAATAAAGCCTGACTACTCTCTACAAGGTATCGGCATAATTTTCTTTCTTTGACAAAAGGATATAAATATTTTGTGGCCAGATGATGGACAATAGAAGTGTTTCAAATGTCCACAATTTTTTAATACACTCAAGAGGTCAAGACCAATTCCCCTCCTGTGAGTACCTGGACTTGCTGGCTCCCTGCTCCTGGAGGAGGCTGGGGTGCCCGCACCACTTCACAGTGAGGCTCAAAAGGCATCGCGATCTCCTGCTTGATCTCTCCTGCTCCTCTCTGGGGGAAAGACATTTGCCGCGCTGGGTGGGCACTCAGATAAGGAGACGCTCACATGGTGAGGAACTGAAGCTTTTTTCCAGCAGCCACATGCATGAGCCTCTATGTAGATCCTTCCATGTCCACCAAGCCTTTTCTTCAGCATGACGTTGTGATTGCATAATGTGAGGCCCTTAGCTGGAACCACCACTGGAGCACAGGCCAGAGGTGTGGAGGGTGAGAGGATGCACCAGAGACAGAGTGGGGAACAGAACAGGCAGATTGACTGAAATACATTGCTGAGGGGAGCAGCAGTCAAGTCAGGAGAGGTCTGCTGCGCCATGTGGGTAGCTCCCTGCCCGGGGATCGAACTGGTGCTGCAGAGGCTGTGGACAGCTTCATAGGTCATGTCTTAACCTCTGCGCCACCAGGGAGGCCCATAAATAAATAAATCTTAGATAACAACAAAAGAAGTCTTGGAGAAAGAAGTTATGAGTGTGGAAGCCCTGGGCTTGGGTCCTAGATCTGTGTCATGCTAAATATGGGAATGTTGCCACTCTCGCCTGTAAAATGGGACTAATAGAGTCTTGGTTGTCTGCCTCACACAGGTGATAAGAGGATTAAGCTTAAACTTACAGTACTGTAGAAGTGAACTATATATTGCTTACAAGAGATGAAGTTTCAATATAAAGACACATTGAAGATAAATTGATGGGAAAAAGATAAGCTATGAAGATAGACATCATAAGGAGATTGGAGTGGTTCTACTAAAATCAGCCATAAAAAATTTTATAATATAGAATTCATTGGCAGATATAGAGAACTCCCTCATGATGATAACATCTAATAGAGTGAGAAACTCCAGAGTACAGATAGAAAGGAGACACGTTGCCTGGCTGGGGTAGGGAGAGGGATCAAATATAAAGGTGCAGCTATTGACAAGAGCTAAAATATGCAAACAACATAAATGCCCAAAATCAGATGTCTGGATCAAGAAGATGTGCTATATATACACAAGGGAATACTTTAAGGCAATTTTAAAGGGTTTAGAATCCCCAAGAGCTCAGACACAGGGAGCCTGCGCCTATCCTTTGGCCCTTTTCCATGGACCTTCACAGGACAGCTTGAGGGGGCAGGGAGATAACTGAGAGACCTGAACTCAGGCATGGAAATCCTGCTGAAGTCAGAGAGGAAGAACTAGGGGAAGTCCCGAACACCCACGTCATGGTGCTGCTGATGAGCAGCATGTACCTCTGGGTGAGGAGCTGCAGAACTGAGAAAAACATCTACTCTCTGTCCCCAGGTACAGATGGGAGTCTAAGGAGAACTGAGAGTGATTCCGGGAGAACTCAGAGTCACCCCAGAGATACACATGGGCCTTACCCTGTGTTAGGTTCTTTTCCCCACTGAGGGAAGGACCAGGAAATGGAGGTAGACAGCCCACCCCAAACACAACTACAAAAGACCCCCTGAAGACTAAGGGCAGAACAGGGATCTGGAGAGAAACCCCAGACCTTGCACTGAGTACTAGGAAGGGACCATGGACAGTTGGTAGAGGGCAGGAGCGTGGATACCTGTGTTAAGATACAGGGGGGAATTTTTCCCCACCCCCCTGGGTTCTTCTGACACTAGACAAATACATTTATATCAAACAG